TCCTTTCTCCTGGCCCCAGCTTGTAACCCCTCCCTTGCAGGCCTGACTGTCCATGGATGTGCCCAGTCTTGGGACCCCAAGGCAGGCCCATGGGGGCATAGCCAGTTTGGCTGTAGACAGGTCCCATCCCTGAATCCCTCCCAGAGGCATGAGGTGGGTCCCGGCCATATGCACATACTGAATTGGATGTGCTGGCTTTGGGGGCTGGATGGGGGTGGGGCATCTTCTGCCTCTTTTGAATCAGGAGTGCACCTGCCTGACACATGACATCTAGGACATCATAGGCATGGGACAACGGCTGAGGTGGCCAGAGGCACCTGGCCTAGCTAGTGGGGCAAAGGAGGGATGAGCCTCCTTTGATGAGCTTCCTCTTTGTATGAGTGTCTCCTGCTTTGTGTGTTTCTGCGTCTGGTGTGTGTCTGTGTACATACGTACGAGTGGGCATCCTTGGCTCTCTGTGGGGGGCTTTTGGGGGGTGTGAATGGTGCTGGTGCCCCTGTGTTTGTGACTGGAGTGGCACTTGTGGCAGTGTGCGTGAGCAAGTCAGGGTCCTGTGGGGGCTGCATGTTTGTGTACAAGGGGGTGATCTACTTATGAATATCTCTGCCTCTGAGCTTGTTTATGGGGTTGTTTCTGGCCGTGGAGGGCTCCTCTCGAACTGCTCGTGTCCTTTTGTGGGTGTGTTTTGTTGCTGTGGGTGTGGCTGCGGCAATGTCCTTATCCAGGATGTGCAAGAGTCAGCGCACAGGCTCGGCATGGGGCCTGTGCGTGCAGGATGCTGTGGGTGGCCCGTGTGTACACAGGGAATGGGCGCGGTGAATGAGAGACAGCAGCCTTCTCTGCAGAGCCGTCCATCACCCCTGGGGCTGCAGACACGACTCTCATCATAACCCTTCCGGTGCCCTCTGCCTGGCTCTGCCTGTTCCCCACGTGTCCACTCCCTCTGCCGCCCCTCCCCTTCCCAAGGCCACAGGCAGCTGTGGCAAGAGCCTGTTACTTCAGCCCCTTGCGTCCCCACCCCTTGGCATTTGTGGGCATCCCCTGGCACCCATGGGGGTGGCACGTGCCCATAGATTGTTCCAGGCACTGGGTTGGTGGCAGTCTTTGCTGTCCCCTTTCCCTGCCTACCATGTTACAATACTATTTTTTTGCATCTCTCAGATCGATGCCAGAGGGCAAGTTGAGGGTTGTGGCACAGACAGAGTAGATAGGGGTGGCCCCGGAGAGTGAACCGATGTCTCCCAGCTCTAGCCCGGCATCACCCCCACCCGAAAAAGCCTCCATGCCAGCCCCTGTCCAACTCCTCTTTGTCATTAAAGCATTCAGGTGGCCCACAACACCCTGATGTTGGGTTCTTCTCCCATTGGGGACCCTCAGTGTCCCTCTCCTCCGCCGGTAGCTCTGAGGCTTGGGGAATCTTGTTTGCTGGTGCCAGGCACCCCAGGGCCCGGCCATCTGCTGCCTCTTGTCTTCCTGCTGAGGCTGGCACCGGTCAGCAGGGTGCCCTCAGCTTTGCCAAGGATCAGTCAGGCCCCCGGGCGACTCCTTCCTGTCCTGAGCAATCTGAAAGGGCTTTCTGGCCTCCAGGGGAGGCAAGGTGACCCTTGGTGATTGTGGATGAAGAGGAATCTGAGCACCGCCCCCATTCTAGGTGTGCAAAGGGCCCTCCTCACTCATCTCTCTGGCCCCAGGGTGTTGCCCACGCTCTCCCTCTCCCCAACTCCCTCTGTTGCCCGTGGCTCCCATCCGTTGCCCAGGGCTGTGAGGTGACTGATACCTGTAATCCAGGTTTATCATGTTAACGGGCTTTCCTGCTCTCACCTTGGTCTCAGGCCTCCCTCTTCCACTACCTGCCCCATCAGACCTCCTGGGTTCCAGTTTTGACCCTGCTGTGCCTCACTCAAATACCTTCTGCTCATCCAACCTGTTAAGTCTACAGAATTTTGCTCGGCATTTAAACCCACTCATCTGGCCCCAGCTCCTTCTTTGCAGCCTTATCCCCACTTTCCCAGGCCCTGAGGCCCTGTACCCCAGCCAAACTGGACAGTTGACAATTCCCGCAACACACACTTGGCTTGTCTGCCCCAGGGCCTTGCCCACGCCTTCCCCTCTGCTCAGCCTGCCTTGGCCCAATCTGAGCCGCTCATTTTTCACAACCTAGCTTAAGTGCCACCTCTTCCGGGAAGTATCCCCTGGCCTTTCGCAACCAGATGCCATTTCTCTGAACTGGCAGCTCTGATTCATTTCTGCCGCAGCCTCATGGGTTCCCTATATCATGGTCATTGATGCCTTTCCCCACCTGTAACTCTGAGGACAGTTACTGTGACTAGAATGTGTGGATTGTAAATATCAGGAGCGGTTCTCCCCACCCCACCCCTGGAGCCTGCTCAGGGCCGTCCTGGGTCTCAGTAGAGTATGGGACGCACCAGGCATCGCTTCCTTCCTGCTCCTGGGAGGGTGGAGGACCCATGTCCCAGGGCCTAGCGCCAAAGGTTTTTAACCCACCCCTGCCCCTACACTCCCCACCCAACCCCTCATAACCATCTCTTCTCTTATTTCCATCAGCAGCCAAACTACTGGAGTTTCAAGGTCAGTGAGCGCTGCTTCTGCTTCCATGCCAACTGCATGTGCTCTCCTGCCCTACCTCTCCCCGCACATGCTTTGCACAGGGGTGTGCGACTGCACGGGACCTTCTGGTGCGGGCGGAGGGCTTTGGGGCTGCAGGCTGTGGCTGCTGCTTTGAGAGAGTCTGGGTTTGCCTGCCAGGGGCTTGTGGATCCAGCATGGGAGTTGGGGCGCCCCTGCTGGGGATCTGAGTTGGGGATGCTCAGGCTTTCCCAGGCCGCGACTGCTGGCTCTGAGGCAGGGGCCTGGATCCCCTAACCTTGTTGAGGGCCCTGTTCTCTGAATTCGGATCCTGGAACTTCATCTTCCAGGGAGGCCCCGTGACTATGACCGGCCCCTCATCCTGTTCTTACTTTCCACTGTGAGGAGCTGGTCAGTGCCACAGCCCTGCACCCCCAAACCTGTTGCCCAGGTGCAGGGCTAAGCAAAACTCTGGGATGGGGGCCTTCCTGCCTCCCCGGGAGAGTCTGGACTGTACATAGCTGAGGAGCTGTGTGCCCCTGAAGGGCATCCTATGGACCTCTGGGGGAGCACCTTTGGGTGCCTCTGCCATCTTCCCTGGCACCCGGGCCCAGAGCTGAACCAAGTTAGACTGTGCTTGTGTCCTGGAATCCCCGACCCCTCTAATCCCAAGCATCATGACAGGGTTGGGAGGTATCCACCCCAGACTCCCCAGTGTCTTCTTGCACCACGCATCCTGTTTGCATGCATTCTCCCAGGGAGAAGAGGTCCTTGAATCAGAGAACCATGGCGTTAGAGAATCATGGCATCAGGCCTAGGCTTTGTGGAGGAGCCAGTAGAGTGCAGTGGTTTAATTCAAGGGTCAGACCACCTGGTGGTGAATTCCAGTCTACTATTAACCAGCTAGGTGACCTGAGCAAGTTACATAATCTCCTAGGCTTCCTTTTTTCCTCTGTAAAATGGCACAACGAAATCTGCATCATAGAGCTGTTGTAAACAGAGAAGAAGTGAGATACTACATGTCCCAAGCACAGTGCCTGGCTCATAGGGAGCCTTAGCTGGTAGCTTCCCTCATTTGCCTTCAGAATCATGAACACTGACTTGATTCCCAAATCAGAATCACTTTGGGAACTTGTCAGAATCTTGAACCCCATGCCCTACACCCCAGACATTCTGGTTCAGGGAATGTGGGGCCCTGGAAAGGGTTTTTAAAAGCCCCTAGATGCTTCTGCCTCAGTCTGTGGAGAGCATTTGGAAGCCTCAGAGCCTGGTCTGTGGGCCTCCACTCCAGGTTCCCTCTGTCTGATCTCAGACCAGGAGTCATCAGCCCCCGGGAACACCTCCAGTGACAGGTGCTCGCTGCTTCCCATGGCAGCCCCTTTCCTACCTTTGGGAAGCTCTGCTTGAATTAGTGTTTTGTTTTCTTGCCATCTCCACCTCCCTCCTAATCAGGGAGTCCTCCTGGATGTTTCTCTTTCCTCTGCCCTGTTGTCTCATCCCAGGGATGGAGAGAAGTGGAAACAGGCTTCCTCTCTTCTCAGGAGGGCTTTCTACGAAGGCTGTGAGACTAGAAAGGTGGCCACGGGGCCAGGAGGGAGACAGGGCCATGGGGCAGGCAATGTGGGCATCTATTCCCCCAGGCTCCCCTGTGTAGGGTCCTGCCTTCTCAGGAGTCAGCAGTGCCTAGGACCCTGTCCCCCTTCATCCTGGCCCTTGTTCCATCTTCTTTCTGGAACCTCACTTGTGCCCTCCAGGCACCGTGGCCGCCTCCTGCTCTTCATCCCTGCTTGCTGCTCATTCTGCCTTAACTCTGTAGCCCCTCAACCACATCAGCCTGGCAACCACTGACCTTCCTGTTGCCTGGCAACCCCATCACCATCAGACCAGATCTGGTTCCCCACACTCCCTCAGGGCTGAGGTGAGAGAGAAGGTCACAGTCTGGCATTGGTGGTCAGCCTAGATCTGAGCTGTGGGGTCCAAAGGCTGGGAATGGGCATCTTCCTGTCCCCCCACCCCCCACTTCCTACAGCGCCTTCCTCCTCCAAGACCCATACCCACCTGCAGTCAAGGCATTGTACTTGGGGCTGGATACCCCCTGAGGTCCCCAAATCTGTCCTTCTACATCCCCGAGCACTTGAGGCCACTTTGGGGACAGCCGGGCACATTGCCCATCAGAGGAAGATGCTCTCTCTTTTCAAGAGCGCTAATCCAATTGGAACATTAAATTGAGTTAATATGAAGATGGAGATTAATTAGGGGTTAATCAGGATTTGGGGAAGGAGAGAGCTGGGGAGGAGAATAAATGATTCCTTTTTAGAGATAATTTTACTGTGTTTTTTTTTTAACAATTATAAAAGAGACATTCTGATTGCGCAAAATTTGCCCAGCAGAAAAATGTATAAGGTAAAAAGAAAGTGCTCGCTTCGGCAGCACATGCACTAAAATTGGAATGATGCAGAGAAGATGGGCACAGCCCCTGCGCAAAGATGACGCGCAACCTCGTGGAAAAGAGAAAGCGGCCTCAGCCCCGAGATAACCAATGCTAGTGGTTTTGAGTAATTTGTTGTTGAAAATAGGCAATTAATTTTATATAAAAATAGAATTGGGCAACATGATTTTTCCTGATAATATATGTATATAATAGGTATATGTAATCTATAGATGTATATAATGTACATAAAATGGAATGAATAGACCTGATTCATTACCTTTCTCCCTTAAATAAGTGAGTTTCTGACAACCGGGTTTGAGGGGTGGGGCTGGGGCAGAATGGCAGGGGCCGTGGTTGAGTGACAGCTCTAGCCTTCAGCCAAAAGAAGGCTCTTAAAGTGCAATAGAAATCATGGCGACTCCGTCCCCACGGAGAGAGGAATCAAACTGTTCCGGGGTAAGGAATGGTCACTGGGCAACACCCTTCCCTAGGCCCAGCCAGATATTACCCTCAGCTGTGGCTTCGGGACCAGAGGCTGCCACAGTGGGTTCCAGTGCTTTGGGAGGCCAGCTGGTTGGCTGTGTGGCAGCATGTGCCTTGCAGGGAGGGGCTAAGGCCTAGCAGTTAATGCCATGTGTGCGTGTGGATCACGCCAGGCTTAGCATGTGCGCTGCATGTAATAGACATGTCATCTGTTTGAAATGGGGGTCCAACTGGCTTTGAGGGGTTAGAGGATGGTTTTCCCAGTAACCCTAAGTCAAGGGCATTGTACCCAGTTCTGTGAGGACCCATACCCTACCCCCCAGAGCTGGGATCCTGGGGTCCCTAGCTCTCTTGGCTTTTTTTCCTGGGCCCTGCCTCCTGCCCCCAACCCAATCCTCTGAACTCCATGAAGGATAAATTTGCCGCTCACCAATCTGTTGCTTAATTAATGTCTGGAACTAATGCCCCAATTTGCTCTACGATTCTGCGGCTCACCTCAGTGACAAATTTGTGTTGTTCTTTGGAAGCTTAAAATAGCAGGTGTGCCCATGGCTCCTGCTCAGATGGTTTCTTGTCTGGCGTCCCAGGGTGCTGAGTCCTTTGCCCACTCCTTACCTGCTGGGTGTCTCAGGGAGGCCAAGGCCCCAAGAGGTTGGGAACTGTCCTGCAGCCACACAGCCAAGTCTGGAATCCAGGGGACCCTCCTGTGTGCGTGTGTCTGTTGCAGGCTTGCGGGGGTTCCCAGGGCCCCGATGGGGGCAGCAGGCAGAGTGGGCAGAGTGAAGGGCTCACGCTCCATTCCTCCCATCCGCCTTGCCTCTGCAGACCCGCAGCTCACGCCACACTCAGGGAACCCAGCCCGGGCTGGCAGACCAGGCGGCCAAGCTGTCTTACGCCTCAGCTGAGTCGCTGGAGACCATGTCGGAGGCCGAGCTGCCTCTGGGCTTCAGTAGGATGAACCGCTTCCGACAGAGCCTGCCCCTCTCCCGCTCAGCCAGCCAGACCAAGCTGCGCTCGCCAGGTACTGCCTGCCCCTCCGCCCTCTTCCTGGCCACTGGCTCCTCCCCCTGCTCTGCCTGCCCGCGAACACCTCATTCCCTTCACCATTCTGTCTTCTTCAACCATCTTTCTAGAAGCCTCTGCCTCCCTTCTCCATCTCCCACCCCCCAGCAATCTCCTCCCCTCAGAGCCTTTTCCTCCTTAATTTCTCTTCCCAGCCCCCCTCCTTCCCTCTCCCCCTCACCTCTCCATCGTCTCTCACCCCTCTGCCCTTCAGCACCCTCTGCCCTGCCTTCTCTCTCCTTTAGCTCTCTCCCCGTCTCCAGCAGCCCCCTCTGCCTCATACCCTCCCTTCTCACCCCTCTCTCCCTCATCAAGGGCTCCCCCTCAGTTTCTGTCCCACCTGCTCCCGCACCCCCTCCCCAATTCCATTTCCTTGCCCAGGTTCCAGCCTGCCTGGGGTCAAGGAGGTGGCTTCAGAGGTCAGCGGCATGAGGGGTGCGTGGGTGCATCTGCACTCGGGGGCAGCGTCCGGCCTCAGACCCTGCCTCTGCGGGACCAGCGCAGCTCCGGACGGCCCCCCTTGCCCTCCTGGCCGGCGGCGTGGCGGTGGCCGCGGCAATGACAGCGTCTCCTTCGCAGGGGTGCTGTTCCTGCAGTTCGGGGAAGAAACTCGGCGGGTGCACATCACGCACGAGGTCAGCAGCCTGGACACGCTGCACGCACTCATCGCACACATGTTCCCGCAGAAGCTCACCATGGGCATGCTTAAGTCGCCCAACACCGCCATCCTCATCAAAGACGAGGCTCGCAACGTCTTCTATGAGCTGGAGGATGTCCGGTGGGCGTGGCCCCGAGGGGGGTGGAACAGTGGGCTTCCGGGTCCTCCTCCTCCGTGGGGGGCTTTATTATGCAGGCCATTCACCAGCCCCCTCCTGACCCACCCCCAGTCCCTCCTCTTTCCTCTGGGAGCCCTACTGCCCCTCCCCCTACCTCGGTTAGCTCAGCCCCACCCCCTTCCCTCTAAGTCGTCCTCCTCTGCTGGTTCTGGTAGTCTTCAGCCAACCTGAAACTGGCTGTGAGGCTGAGGAAGTGGACGGGGTGGAGGCTGCTGGGCGTGTGCGTGTGTGTGTGTGTGTGTGTTGGTGTCAGGTAGCCTCAGGCACGAGATCCACTGAGCAAGGAGTTAGAAAGGGGTTGAGGCTCCTGGCCCCTCTTGCCATCTCTCTTCCCTCTCCCTGGAGTAGCTGTCCCTTCTTAGCACAGGGCTGGGAGATGGTGACCTTCTGAACTCGCCCCCCCCTCCGCCCCTGCCCTCCAGGGACATCCAGGACCGCAGTATTATCAAGATCTATAGAAAGGAGCCACTTTATGCTGCTTTTCCTGGCTCACACCTCACCAACGGGGATCTCCGGGTATGGCTGGGGGTGCCCAGGGCATTGGGGGGCGCTGGGCAGATCGGGGCCAGGAGCACAGTAACTTGTCATCAGGGACCAGGCCCAGCTTTGGAGAAGGGAACATAGAGGCTGAAGCAGAGGGGGCCTCCATTGATTGCGGGGTCATGGATTTCTCCAGCACACCTCTAGATATTCTAGACGACTCTTCCAGGAACCAATCTTTCCCGTTGGGCTTCCCCACCCGTCCGCGTAGGGTATAGGCTGCGGGTTGCCCCTCTGATGCCTCTTCCCTGTTGCTTCTTCCTCCATCCTGGGAGCCCTGATGGGAGAAGGGACCCTGATGCAGCCGGAGCGAGGGAAAGCAGAGAACAGAAGGGGCTTCCTAAGTGTCAGGGGGAGGGTGCTGTCTCCTCAGGCAAGGGAACCCCTTAGTGACCAGCCCTGTGGGGATCCGGGACTATCTTCTGCACAGAGAGAGATGGTGTATGCGTCGAGGGAGTCGTCGCCCACACGGCGCCTCAACAACTTGTCGCCCGCACCGCACCTGGCGTCCAGCTCGCCGCCGCCCGGGCTACCGTCGGGGCTACCGTCCGGGCTGCCTTCAGGGCTGCCGTCCGGGCTGCCGTCCGGCTCCCCATCGCGGTCACGCCTCTCTTACGCCGGGGGGCGCCCGCCCTCCTACGCCGGCAGTCCGGTGCACCACGCGGCGGAGCGGCTGGGAGGCGCCCCCGCCGCGCAGGGCGTCAGCCCCAGCCCCAGCGCCATCCTGGAGCGGCGCGACGTGAAGCCGGACGAGGACCTGGCGAACAAGGCGGGTGGCATGGTGCTGGTGAAGGGCGAGGGCCTCTACGCCGACCCCTACGGGCTGCTCCACGAGGGCCGCCTGAGCCTGGCCGCGGCCGCCGCCGGCGACCCGTTCGCCTACCCGGGGGCCGGCGGCCTCTACAAGCGCGGCTCCGTGCGCTCGCTCAGTACCTACTCGGCCGCCGCGCTGCAGTCCGACCTGGAGGACTCCCTGTACAAGGCGGCGGGCGGCGGCCCCCTCTACGGGGATGGCTATGGCTTCCGCCTGCCGCCCTCCTCGCCGCAGAAACTGGCTGACGTGGCAGCGCCCCCCGGAGGTCCCCCGCCGCCTCACAGCCCCTACTCGGGGCCACCTAGTCGTGGCTCGCCGGTGCGCCAATCCTTCCGAAAGGACTCGGGCTCCTCTGTCTTCGCAGAGAGCCCCGGAGGCAAAACCCGCAGCGCCGCGGGCTCCTCGACGGCCGGAGTGCCCCCTCCTGAGCTCTTCCCGGGGCCGGGGGAGCGTCCGCTCGTTGGGTTCGGGCCGCCTGTGCCAGCAAAGGACACAGAGACCAGGTGAGGGACGCTCACGAGGCCTCAGGACCGTGGGGGGTGGGGGGTGGAGAGGGGGCACCGCAGAGTTTGTGGCAGGGTTGTTGTGTCCTGGACTCTGACCCCGGAGTCCTTTGTGGACCCGGAGTAATCTAGTGGGGTCACCAGTCTCTTGAATGTGGCAGAGAAGGCAATGAAGAGACAGGCATGGCATTTCCCTTCTGTCTGCAAGGCCTTAGGGGTGGACAGAGGGCCCCAGACAAGAACTGTGGAAACCTGGGTTTGCATCAGTTCCCTGAACCTGTTTCCCTCACCCAAACCGAGGCTGGACCAGCACTCTTTAGTGCCTTTCTCGCCCGGACAGAATTTGCAGCTGAGAGCTGTCCAGCACCGGGCCCGCTGAAGTCCACCAGGGCGGGGGTGCTGGTAAGGAATAGGGATGGGGAGAGACAGAGGCACGTTCACTTAGGGAGCCTCCGACCTGGGGAACTCTTGCCCATCGTTCAGCTCCTTCTTAAGGAGGCAGGGCTGGAGGAGGTAACCAGGGCGCTGGCCTGTCCCCCTCTGCCCTCAGGCCATGTGCTGAGAGGTAAGAAGGGATTTACATTCACACAGCTCTTTTGAGGCCTGTGTGCCAGGCAGTGCACTGGGCACTGTCAATGCCAAGGTGGGCAAACCCAGTTCTGCCCTGTTTAGTGGGGGAAACATATTAAAAAATGCTCGTACTTCCTTTGGGAGCCTGTACAGGGACTCCTCAAGGTTGCTGGGGACTCTGGGATGGCTTCCGAGAAGAGGCAGGGAGGAGGGCATAGCAGGCAAGGGGAAAACGTGTGGCAGTGCTGAGACACAGTGCAGGGCCCATCAGGGAGCCAGCGGT